GTTCTTAAATAACAATTAGTGTTAGATCCAGATTTTTTTCATTTGAGAGTTTAAAAATAGCTGCCCAGGGAAGATTTTAGAATCCACAGCATTCTCTTTCAGTGAGTATGTCAAGATTTTGGAAATGTCAGACTGTTGGAAGAAAGATAGTGCCAAGACTGAACACAAAAGGAATAAATATAATGATGCTAGTGATTACAGGGTTGTCAGGGGGGTGCTGATTTTAGACAAAAGTGTGGAATTTGTATTAGTCAACCTGATGCATAATAAATTTGAAGAATTTAATTAAAGGCCAATGACGTTTGTTTATGAAAATAGATTTCAAAATACTTCGGCATAGCAATAACATTACAGCAACATATTACACTGATGGTAAGAGAAAAAGGTCAGTGTTATATATTTTAATTTTTGTTGATGTTCTTTCATTAAGATGGAGAGGACATGGAATCAGCATAACATTAAACAGAAGTAATCTGCCTAAGCAATAGATCCCAAAAAATGATTTTAAGCAGGTGAAAAAGAAGGTAATTTCTTTAAAAAGGATGAAAAATTATGGATGATAAACAGCTGCAAGCAGACTCTTAATGTGGACTAATTCATCAATAGCTCCTCAGATTTGGCGCAAAGCACCCTGGGGCTTTAGTTTGATGTCCACAGTGCAAAGATCTATGAAGAACAATGAGATGGAGTCAGAGAAGAATACCAAGAGGTTGTTCAGAAGAGCACCAAATCAGCTTCTGAAGAACTCACCTGAAACAAAATCTAATAAACTGGGTTTTAACCATTTGTAGTAAATACTCACATGCAAAAAATAAATGCTGCAGAATACTTTAAAATCAAGGGATCCTAGATTTCATTACATACTTTATGCAGATATAAATTATTCTGCCTCTGAAATATCAAAAGAAAAGCTTGAAGTATATTTCCAGAATAATTCTAAATGAATAACAGTTTATATATCCAGTACTCAATACTTCAGTATTTAATGATTATTTTATTTTATACATTTTCTAAAGGACTAAACTTGTCTGCTTGAGCCACAGAGCCTGAGCCCAAGACCATATAAGAGCCAAAGTAAATAACAGAAGCAGTGATAATGACTGACGTTTGCATCTCAGCATCAGTTACGGATTTTCATGGATTGAAATATCTTCTAGGTATGTAACAAAAGGGTAACTGCTTGAGTCACAATGTGAGTTCCTGAAAGAAAGAGGGTGCTCCTTCCAGAAGGAAAGGGGAGATGGTGCCTTATATACCAGTAAAAGCTGCTGTAAGGGTTTTTTATGAAGAGGTCTACACAACAATGACTCAAATGTGCATATTGGGCTGTGAAATGTAAGACAGCAGGAGAGGAAATGGACTGTAACAATTATTCTTGCACAAATGTTTAAGTGGAATCCCTCTCTCCTCACTGAAGTTGTTAAGCAATATCAGCCCCCTGTGTTGTGGAGGCTGTGGAGCCCTGCTGTATTGTTATCCAAGGTCACTCCTGTAGATCATCTCCTTGTGACAGAGTCATATGTATTGCCTGGAACTTGCAGAAATCTTGGAGCACCCTGGTAGGATAAAAGATTCTTGTATTCCCTGTAATGTGTTTCTCTTTCAGTTGTGAGGACACATACGGACATGGTTGGGAAGGACCTTGTTATTTCATACAATTGTATGTGCCTCAAACTACAGAGATACCCTGAAATGGGAGACAAACATCTACTACTGCAGTGGAAGAGTAACAGCCTGTATATTCATTTCAAGATACCCAGTGAAGTAGCAGTTTATATTTGCACATGGTGCAAATTTGGAAAGAACATTGTTTCCAGCAAGCTGTACTTTTATAAATTGCACAATACAGCAAAATGTATGGTAGAAGAAACATCCCAGACCTAAAAAGAAGGAGATAATAAAATTATTTTTTCCTCAAGTTCCAAGAGATTTTTGAAATTAGATAATTAGAGGAAATATTTTTTCAATTGAATTATATGAAAATGCTGAAGTACTACATTCCATAAGTTAACAATGCATTGACTGTTACATTTTCTGCAAAGGAAAAGCTCCTAAACTGGATTCAAGGTTTTATCAAATAACTTTGTCTATTAATTGTTATTAAATAGTGTATAAGTCAGGCAAGATGAAGGTAATGGAAAGATACTTTTGATGGCAAGGAACTTGAATTTCTTTCAAATTGAGGACAAATATGTATATTTAAATTTTAGGAATTGGAGTGCTCTGAAGTTGTAACCTGTTGGTGTTTATAACATGATTCTTAGAATGAAATCTTTATTATCACAGAATTTTCTACATCCTTTCCTGATCATAAGTGTAGCTCATCTAGAAAGATATCACAGAAAAACAGAAACAATGGAAAGAACTTTGATTCAGTAGTATGTAGTATCTACTGTCTGACTTCACAACTTGATTTCAGCAAAGAGTGAGTTTGTTGCAATTCGGCTACTTCCTTTGGGAAACAAATGTTTACTTTTCAGGATTTCGTCAGAATTCCAGAAGGACTGAAAAGCAAGGCAAAGGCTCCATGTACATTGTTCAGACAAGAAATGCTGTTCACAGACATCCAGCAGCACGTTCATCCTTCAGAAGTCTTTTGATGTGAAATGGTCTAGTACTCCGTCTTCAAATGCTCATTGTAGAAATGGGAATTTTCTTACATAAATAGTATTGGACAGGTTTTAGAAACCTACAGCATAGTATTTCTCCTAAGGCTGCAAATCAGAGTGATTGTATTTCTACATGTAGAGTTCTATAAACTTAAAGAGAAAAAAAAGTGCTACTTTATTAAGTTAATTTTTTAAAAGTTCAAATGTTATATCTGAGAGCACAAGAGATATGTGCATGGTACATAAAGGAAAATGGGATTTCTCTTTTGTTTCCCTTAAGAGAAAATGTTGTTTCTTATTTGACTCTAAACAGATTTGTTGGGGACAAAGTGTATGTGCATGGGTGAGAAAATAATGTCAGTCAGCTGGATATGATGATTCTACCAGAAAATAATTTGCTGGAGAATCTGGGGCATTTCTTCAAGGTCTTGTATTCAGAAAAAATATTTCACCATTAAGTGAGAAATAATATAAGCATCCAACTCCCTCAGACGACGCTGAGCAAACAACCAATAAACAAAAACAAGTGCAAATCATTCCCATGAAGACCAGACCCGAATAAGCCTTTCTTTGGAATCTTTCTGAATGGTTTCTCTGGTGCCCAGTAATGTCACTGTGCAGACTCAGCAGCTTTTCTGACTATAGGGGTGATAACCTTCGGTCTTCTCTTAATCCAGTTGTTTATTTTCCAAATTACTTAGGAGCTTGCTATGTACAAATTTTCTGTTCCCCCAACAAATATGGTTGAATTTGGTAAACAAGCTCAAATTTATTGGCAAGCTGGGAAATGCAGAATCACAGAATGGTTTGGGTTGAAAGTGGCGTTAAAGATCATTCAGTTCCAGTCCTCCTGCCATGGGCAGGGACAACTTCCCCTAGACCACATTGCTCAAAGCACCATCCAACCTGACCTTGAACACTTCCAGGAGTGGGGAATCTACAGATTATCTGGGCAACATATTCCAGTGCCTCACCACCCTCACAGTAAAGAATTATTTAGTAATATCTAATATGACAAAATAACATGACTGTGGGCCAAATAAAACCTTTGCCTGCACTCACATTCCCCATCCCAAGCAGGATTGACTCCCCTTAAAGTTTGAAATACCAGAAATTCCTTGGAATTTGTTATAATGCTGCCGTTTTCAAGTCCAACGCATGTGCAATTGTGATATTGATGGTGGTAGTTCCACCAACAGACACCTTTTTGTCTTACCCAAATTCCAGACTTTCTCTGGAGCTGATGCTTGGAGGGATGGGGAGCATGTGGAGGACTACTTCCTTCAGATTCTTATCTCTACCTCTAATCCCCACACCTTAAATCTATCAGGGTATGTATAGCCTGGGCTGCCCCAGCCAGGCTGCAATCACAATGTGTGCAGTTGCTCCAAGTTCTAAGAGTCTGCTGCAGGTGATAAAGCACAGACAGCTATTGGGTGTTTACAGCTTTTGAAAGGAAAGATAAGTTAGAATCTCATTTGGTGTAGGTTTTTCCACTGAACATAGCTATTAACTGATTTTCAAATGCCTTTGGTATTTGTTAGTAGTCAGTTTTCCCAATGGCTTTGTGAAGATCAGATAGACTGGAAGTACCATCAATTTGTGGATCTTGTACATTCACTATACTAATGAAGTTTAAAAGTGCAATTACTTCAGATTCCAACTATATCATTGCCATCAGTTACTCTAGTCCTTAAAATGCTTACTTGTACTTAACAATAAGCAGCAAAAAACTTCATGGAGGATGATGACTTTTCATTTCTTTAACACAAGAAGTGGCATGGAATCCTATTTTTTTGTTTGCATTTTTTTTCCAAGGTCAGTTAGTTAATTTTTCAATTGTAAAATCATTTGTGTCTGTGATAGTTTCAGTCTAGGCCTTCCTGGAGACCAGCCTGTAACCAGGAAGGAACTAGGAAAGTGACCAAGGAAGTATTCCACGCTATTCCTTTACGTAAACTGAGGTATGAACAAAGCCGGTCAGAGACCTCTCTCCCTCTTCTTCCAGGTTTGGGAATGGTAGGTCCCTGTCTCGGCCTTGTTTATCTGGAGCTGAGGGTTGCAGTGGCTGCTGTTGTCTGTCACGTGTGAGGGGAGAGTGCTGGGCCGTGTCCGGCCGTCCTGCTTTTCTCAAGGGAAGTGGTGAGATTTTGCTAGTTCTTTATTTTGTTCGTTACCGGGTTTTTCGATTGTGCATACCTGTTTTGGTTTTGTCCGGTTTTGTCCCTTTTTGTGCTTTTTCACATTTTCCCTTCCCCTCTTTTCCTTTTGGGAGCGATTTGGGATTCTTATGTTCATATGTACATAGCACCTTAATTGTATATCTGTAATATATGTAAAATATATATATATTTTATATAGCTTTTGCGATTCCATTTTTTTTCTTCTCTCTCTTTTGCGAGCTTTTCTTCTGTAGCCTTTGGGGTTTGGTGGGAAGCCAACTACAACTGGTTACAGCCTCTCCCAGACCAAGACTAATGCTGGCAGTGTTTTCAAGCAGCTCTGCTACTGGTATCTCCACAAGGGATTCCTTTAACAGTAGAGACAAAAAGTACAGGTGAATATCACAGAATCAAGGGCTTGCTTTGACAGAAACCTTGAACCACATCTTGTTCCTCAATACCAATAAGTTTGTTGTTCATTCCCGGCTTTCCTATAAGAAAGTTTATGACTAAGGCAAGATCAACAAGTTGAGAGCAACTTATATTCATGATTGAAAGTTGTTTTTTTTCCTCACCTTACGTTATTGCATTTTTGTCCCATGGGGATTTCTGGTGGATAAACATGGCTAAAGAAAATTCACAAATATTTTACTTAACGTTTCACAAATTATTTTTCCTATAACCTACATATTCCATTAAAATGGTCTCAATGTTGCAGCTTTTAACAATGTTTGCTTTTTAAAAATAAGTTAAATATTCATGAAGATTTTAAAATTAAATAACTTCAGATTTTTCTTTGTGAAAATTTTTTCGTTTTTATCATTGCCACTAATATTAGTATCCCGAATAGATATTGTAATAACTAGAATAGACTGAAATAGTCTGAAATTTTAAAAATGAAAAGAGTTCATAATTATATTTATTCGTGCACTGAGTTCTAGATGACAAGGGAAATTATTTAGTCTGAACATTTTCCTTAATGAATATGAAAATAAAATAAAAATAGACTCCTCCATTTGTTAGAAATTACCTTATAAGAATTGATGCTGTAATTACAAGTCTTGTGTAACCCTGTGTGCCAGTTATCTTACTGAGCTGAGCATATTTAACAGACGAAGTTGAAGAAGTCAAGCAAACATTTTGCAAAACAAGTCAAAGATCTTCTGAACTGAGCCATGGCAAAGTCCTGTCCTTCGGGAGAGGGGGAGCTTGTTGTAAGTATACAGTGTAAATGTTCCTGAGTAATTTCCTTTCTGACTTCTATAAATCACAGAGTACTTTAATTGCGAATGCATTACCAGCAGACCATGGCCTAAACAGGATTATGGATTTGCATTTGTTCATAAGATTAGCCCATGTTTTTGTAGTTTACTTAAGATCCTTTCAAATGTTTTTCTCTTATCTATAAACTACTGATTGCATTTCAGGCTGCTTAATTATTAATCTCTATTAAACAAACATAGTAATTAAATATTACTTGATATAAAACATACTTTTGTTAAACATTGAGTTCATTTTCTGGCTAAATGAAATGAGAAGTAGGAGAGGAAAAGACAAATATTGAACTTTTCTCATTTAAATTTCACTTTTTCCAAGTTCATAAAATAGTTGTAAAAATGAATTCATTTTGCAAACTTCTGATATTTTACAAAGATGTTTCCATCCAATATACAATCAGTCTGCAAGTTCTAGAAATGTTTTTTTAAAACCTAGTTTGAAATAAGATGATTAGTTCAGATTGCTCGAGTCAGTCATGGTGTTCATTCTGTTAATTAAGTTATTCCTAATGAATTCTGAATCTAGTCCATTTAGTTAGAGGGTTTCAAAAACCAATGTTTGTTTTTCAGGAGTCTTTACAATACAGGAAAGTAGAATAACCCACTCTTCACAGCCATGGTGCATAGAACAAGATGTAACCAGTTTAACCTACAAAGAGGGACAATTTTGTTATATATTAGTAAAAAAATCCCACAGTTGAGGAACAGAATAAATTTTCAGAAGAGGTTGTAGAGTCCCGGTCAATGGAGGATTTAAAACCAGAAATGCACATGCCTGTAATGGTGAATATGTGGACCTTGTGTGGGCATGTGGATATATTAAATGTGTTAGTAATATAATCTGTGACCCTTTTTAATGTTATTCTGTGATTTTATATCCTTTTCCTAAGCTGCCTGCAGATTAGCCGTAGGACATTTAGTGGTGTGGCATGGAAAGAGGTATGTACAGAAGGACGTGCTGCTTCCAAAGCGGTGTGGAAAAGGAGAGTAATAAATGACAGTGAGTAGGAACTCACAGTATATATAACAGATATTGCTTGTATCACTTAACATACCACTGGCAAATGAGTAGAATTTAGTGATGGAAAGGTTATAAAAACTAGACTAGAAAAACTCACCCAGGCCAGCACAATAAGGAAGGGACACATTCTTGACTGTTCCTTCATCTACAGTGGAAAAGAACAATCCACCTGCAAAAGCGAGTCCAGAGAAAGGCAGGCAGTACGCCCTTTTCCAGAAGAAAACTCACCAAATGGTGATGAGAAAATTAAATTTTCTGTCAAGGCAGAATATGTGATAATACAGTTGAATGGACGTGTGGTGGTCTGTGTGGAACAGGGAACTGGTATCATCCTTTGTGTACTCCAGCAGCCATTCATCATGAGATAATAATTAGAATTTAGAGATGATTAGGCCAGCTGAAAGCTTACCTTTGCACAGATTGTTTTGCTGTTGTTTATATTTCCTGTACTTGTATATTTTATGGCTTGGATAAGTAAACAATAAAATCTGCCTTAACTCTATTTTATAACTTCTAGTAATAAATAATATTTTGGACATATTTTGGGATCCTACTGGGTTACAAATTAGCCTACCTGCTACTCTTCTATATCAGTATTAATGCCATCTACTTTCCATAGAGCAGTGCCAGAAGTTCTTGGAGGTCATCTGCTCCGATGCTAACTCATTTTGGTTCCTGTCTTGTGTTGAAAGCTGGTGAAGATGTTGTATTTCAAGACAGGAGTATGCCTTGAAGAAGATATTTCTGGCAACATCATCTACAAGCTAATCAACAAAAATCAAGTGCCTGCTACTAAATTTGCAGGGTCTGCAGGATTTTTTCCCTCTAAATATCCTGGCTCGAAGTTTTAATGTAACTGCTTATTAGTCAAAACAATGAGAGGAGCTTTAAGGAACTGGAGGCAATGCACAGAGGGCCCTGTTAGCACACTGACAGTTAAGTGAAGCCATGTGAAAGGGGAACATTTAAAAGACTGTACAGGACTCACACACCAAAATGAAGTTGCCATGGATACAGGTGTTATGTATACATATCCATCTTTATCGAAAAACACTGTAGAGGCTGAACTTAATCTAAGTGTAAGGCTTGGGTAAGAGAAAGGTTGTTGTGCAGAGCAGTGAGGATGGAAGTAAAACAATCTCTTCTTTGGTGAGAGGTATTGATGGACTAGAAACAAAAGCAAAACAATAAAGCAGTTGAGCCAAGATCATGCACAAACAGAAGAGAATACCTTCACCACAGAACCTGAATGTGTACAATAAAATACCCCACGGAAGTCACAGGGGAAAATAGAAAAGGGTGTTTCTTTGGCTCATTGAAATTAGGGTTAAAAATCTTAGTAGCTTCACTGGAGCCATATGTTTTATTCTTTTTTTTTTGTAAATACTTTTAATCACCTGATTAATGCCAGAATTTTTCTTCCCTTCTTTTTCTTTTTTCTGATTTCTTTTTCATAAACATAATTGTCATTGAAATAGGTGGTTATAGAGCTGTCCTTGTCTGCTGATAGGATCACAGAGGAGCTGAGGAGGTACCCCCTACTGGGGGTAGGTGCCAGTTTCCAGAAGAACATTTTTTGCTCTGTAAGTAGTTAGAAGGTACATCTCCTGCCACAGGCCAGAGCTTTTGGTATTTCTTCACAGGAGGGCTAAGAGTAGATCCTTATATACATGACCAACAAAGTTTTGCATAGAAATTTCAAACTACAAAAAGTGTTGTATAGTTTCAAAGCCATCAGTCACCGATAAAAATTCCGGTGATAAGTGCATTTGAAATGTCTGGGACATGAAGAGCTGTTACAGTTATGGGTTGTTTAAGAAACCTCATGGTAATGTTTTGGGCTTACAGTCTCTGCCAAGCACAGTTATGTGGCATCTACAGGATTTCAGGAGGACATGAAAATCTACTTGTTTGGTCCATTTGGCCATCCCCTTCTCTTCTGGTGAAGTATTCATGCAAAACACTTTATGAGTTTCCACATTCTTCTCTCTTCCACTAGACTCACCACAAGGCCACACGTACTGAAATGACCAAAGAAGAGCATTGCAGCTGTTTCCTTACTGCATACAGAATGTTTTTGCAGGTATTGACCCTGTGCTGAGTTGAGAAATGTGTCTAGACCAGGTTCATCAATTTGGAGCAACTGTTTAGGAGGCCATTGCTCCCAAAGATACCTCCAGGTCTCAGGGACGTGACACTCCCAGGGAACCTCAGCGGACTCCAGCAGTCTCTCCTGCTCAACTTGCTGAGTGAAAATGAGTGAACAGAGGTAGTGGAAACCAGGTCAGTGCCTCACATGTCATTTGGTGGTCTTTCAGTTGTTGATTGCTTTCTCCATTGTAAGGTCTTTGATTTTAATCGGATCATTGTGTGCACATATGGATATTCCTGGTGGCCTAACCAGTGAACATAATTAAAAGAAATGATTGCCTTTCACTTTAAGCAAACATCTGGTTTTACTTGAAACAAGATGACTTAGCTGTTTCAGAAACATTCTTGTAACCCTGGATTCACATTTTCATCTTAAAATATATATTTTCTCTGTTCAAGCAGCATGTTAATGTAAACACTATATATAACTGACAACCAAAATTTTCAGAAGTATTTGGTGCTCTGAGCACTAGTGAAACCACAAGAATTATTACATTTTTGATTTGATCTCTGTAAATCTGTTTCAACAGTCACTCTGATTTAAACAATTATTCTGATTTATATTCCAAGAACTGTAATTTGCAGAAAATGTAACCATGTGAAAACATGTTTTTGTATAGTATATCTTGGCAACCTTGTTTTGTTGTGATGTCATTGCCTTAGGTTTCATGGAAATACTGAGGGAATAAAAGGAAAACAAGACCCTTTCTTTGAAGTATATTCGCATATCCCCTCTCTCCACCACTAAAAATATTTTAATGTCTTTTTTTCCATAATGACACTGAATTTTCTGCTATTGCTTGACTGACAAGATGGTCAGAAACATACTAAAGGCTCTCATGAAGGGAATTTAATTGAGAGGGAAGGATTTGTCACCTTTCACTTCTCCCTATCAGGTAGGAATCATCATTTGTATAATGAGCTATTTTGAGATCCTGGGTTTCTTTGCTTTCATGTTGTTACAATGATAGATTCTAAACAGTTAAACACAGGCATGTATGCAAGGTACACAGAACAGGGAAAATGAAATTTCAGACCATTTATCAACTGCAGAGGTAACATTGGAGCTTTATCATTAAAAGTCTATCTAATCTGGTTTATTGTAACATCTGAGAGAAGATGACTGTGCTTTATTAAACCAATAGCTCTCATTCACTTCATCACATCTGCTCTTTCTAAAAAAAATAAAATAAAATAAATACAAGGTTATTAAGAGTAGCCCTTCATTATAAAAAGCATAAGTTACAGCTACATACAATAGAATGAAAAATGGCAAAAGAAAATGCCTTCATATGGAAACAATCCATCTGGATACACCTATATATGCTATATGGGGATTTCCAGTACTATTAAAAAGGTTATCCCTAGTACAAGATATTAAAAATATGCCTTGTATGATTTAGGGGTTTTAAACATCTCCGGTGTTTTTACTGAAAGAAAAGGAAAAGAGAGAACGGGGAAAAAGGAAAGCATCACATTCAGAGACATTCCTAACTGGCTTCACATTTTTCTTTTTCCAGCACCAACAAGAAAACGCATGAGACACAAGCTCATGCATGTCAGATGTGATCATATGCTAAAACAAATGACACCACTTGCTAATTTCATTTCCCCAGCACGTGCCTTTGTGCCTGTGTCTGGCTGTTAGGAGTCTGGGATGTTTGGAAACTGCAGATTTTTCTTATCTACTTAGCTGCACAATGAACTACAAGGAATTTTTCTGTTGGGGCTGATTGTGCACTAAATTGCCTTATTGTTAATCCTGAGCAATTTAGTTGATTTCAATGTATCTCTTACCTGATTAAGAGAATAGATGGAGAACTGAGCTACCATTACTGACCCTGTGACCCTGTGAGGCCACACCTTGAGTATTGTGTTCAGTTCTGGGCCCCTCAGTTCAGAAAGGATATTGAGGTGCTGGAGCGGGTCCAGAGAAGAGCAACAAGGCTGGTGAAGGGACTGGAGCATAAGTCCTATGGGGAGAGGCTGAGGGAGCTGGGGTTGTTTAGCCTGGAGAAGAGGAGGCTCAGAGGTGACCTCATCCCCGTCTATAACTACCTGAAGGGAAGTTCTAGCCAGGTGGGGGTTGGTCTCTTCTCTCAGGCACTCAGCAATAGGACAAGGGGGCACGGGCTTAAGCTCCGCCAGGGGAAATTTAAGTTGGATATCAGGAGAAAATTCTTTACAGAGAGAGTAATCAGGCATTGGCATGGGCTGCCCAGAGAGGTGGTGGATTCACCATCCCTGGAGATTTTTAAACGCAGATTGGACGTGGCACTGAGTGCCATGATCTAGTAAATGGACTGGCTTTGGACCAAGGGTTGGACTCGATGATCTCGGAGGTCTTTTCCAACCCAATCGATTCTATGATTCTATGATTCTATGATTCTATGATTCTATGATCAGCCACCGTACTTAGCTACTGTGAGTTGTCCCTTTTGCCACTCTCTACCAGGCAAGGGACTAGACAAGTGATGTATCCTTTGACTAATACTGAGTCTTCATAGGATCAGATGGTCAGTAGGTATTTTTAAAATGCAATTTTCAAGGAGTTAAAAGCCACAAATAATTTCTGTTTGCTATTAAATTAAATTTATTATTTAGTCTACCTTTACATATCTACTTTTCAATATATTATTATCAAAAAATCCCTTTTATATTGTGAATTTCAACTATTTCAACTCCACCTTCAAAAGTAAATGAGCAAAATGAACATTGGACATGACCTCAGCACTAGTCATATACTATATTCTAACTACTAAAGGCAATGTTCTATAAATCTCTACAGCTATATCCATAGATTTGAGTAATATACCATATTTCCTTCAAAATGCCAATCATGGACTATGTCTCTAGTAAATTTGGTGCTTGGTACAATAAATAAAATTAATGTTCATGTATTAAGAAGAGTCACTGTAAATCATCGCTCCCTCTTTAAGGACTATTGCTTTAGCAGTCAGTGTAGGAAATGAAGTAGTTTTGGGGAGTAGGAAACAGCAAGAGTTGTAGAGTACATTTGAAACTTGAGTTTAAGCTGATCTCAGCCTACCTCCACGTTAGTCATTTCAAGGTCTGCTGCAGGTGGTCTTCACACAGAAGCTCAAAAGAGGCCATTTGTGCCAAAGTGTGGAGCTAGGAGGGGTAAGTGATGGAGCATTCACAGGGAACAATAGAGCTTTCATACTATGGAGAGAGTGGAGAACCAAGCTGAGCAACTTGGAAAAATGTTAGTGAGTAGAAGACAAAAAAGAAGCAAGTAATTTAAAAAAGCATGTAAGAAAAGGAAGCACAGACTTTGTCTCTAGACAAACATGGAAACAGTTCCAGAAGAGGCACTGATAAATTGCTTATTTTCTACTAAAATATTCTTCATAAAATAAGTAGAGTCTAATCCCAGCTGAAACAGCACTGTCAGCATTGACATTTTTCCCAGTTCTACCTCAGTTGAAATTTATTATTCATTTTAATTGTTATTGCACCCCTGAAGTTTCTCCTTTTTCCTAGTCCCATCACTTTCTCTAAAGTTGGCTTTCCACCCTGCTGGAACTTAAAACTGAGGGTTAAGTCTTGGCGCTGCTGAAGTTAATATAAGTTTAGCCTCTGCAATGAGGTCTGGATTTTACATAGATGTTTAGGAAGTTCTGCAGGAGCATTCATGCCTTTACTCAGGCTTTTTTCAGTTAGGTATTAGAGTCTCTTTCTCTCCACTGATCTACAAGGAGCCCAGTTTATTATTTGACATTAGGGACTTACTTTGCATTCCAAAGTGTCATTGATATTATTTCATTCCGAATTTCAACAGTTAAGTGAAAGGGAAGTTATGAACTGAATGTCCTTCAAGTTTTGTGTAAACCTGGGATAGAGGAGGTAGCAATCTCCTCTAGACATGACAAACATGGGGTGAAGGCAACCCATGAAGATAGGTTGTGAGATTTGGGGCTGTTCAGCCTGGAGAAGAGAAGGCTCAGGGGTGAACTTACAGCACCTTCCAGTACCTGAAAGGGCTACAAGAGAGCTGAAGAGAGACCTTTGACAAGGGCCTTAGTGATAGGACAAAGGGGAACAGCTTTAAACTAACAGAGGGGAGGTTTAGATTAGATGACATGAATAAATTCTTTACTGTGAGGGTGGTAAGGCTCAGGCATAGGTTGCCCAGAGAAGCTGTGGATGCCCCATCCCTAGAAATGTTCAAGGCCAGGCTGGATGGGGCTTTGAGTAACCTGTTCTACTGAAAGGGGAGTTGGAACTGGATGATCTTTAAGGGTCCTTACAACCCAAAGCACTCTGTGATTCTAAGTAGTGCAGAAAAAGAGTAAATAATGTTGTGGTGGCAAACATCAATTTTCCTGACTTGTGAGAGCTAAGGTCACTGAAAATTATGGATATCCTACTAGGGGATATCTTTAACTATTGTCTTTGTTGTGTTTCCCCAAAGAAGACCATGTCTAATTGTCCTGGACTGTGGGTTTGCATGAGAATAATAGAAGCAAACAGAGTCAGGAGATCCCATTTTGCGTAGGAGAAACGTGAACTCAGAAAATTGCCCACTTTCAAACTGTGCTTGAAGATAATGATTGTGGCTTTGCCAACTTAATTTCTTTGGGCAGTTTGGTGTTCTTCTGCTCTGTGGTTAAGCTAGGAGTCATACTGTAGCTCACAGTAGAAAAAGAGATCACAATTTATAACTCATCTTTTATGGATAAAAGCTACGTACTATATCCCCTTAGTGCAGCAGACTAGATTTTGTTGCACAGATATGGTTTCATCAGAGCAAAACAAATTCAGCAAACAGTTGATCATTACTTTAGTGGTGTTACTGATGGAGTGGAAGACAGCCATGTGCTTAGATTTTTGCTGAATTAGGGTCTAATTCTGCTGCTTTCTTCTCAGAATGTATTTGAAACAAATTTGGAACTAAGCAGTGGAAAAAAGAGCTTGAACATCTCATACTTGGTATTCCATATGACAATCTTAATGAATTTTCCTGTAGAAGCAGTCTGTGTCTGACTTTGCTTTTGAGTTCGGTCACTGATACAAGTAGCACTTGTAGTGTCATTTCCAGGTGACAGATTGACAGTGGTACAATGAGTTGGCTGTGTAAGAGCAACAGTTCAACTACGTGAATGAAAGACTGACAGTGTCATTCAGCTGTTGTTGATGGAGGCTTATTGCTGCTTTAATAGAGGAACTGTCTTCACAAAACTTGAAGTCCAATAATGAGAAAAATCCCACAATATTTATAAGTCTCAGAAACACTGCTTTTGGCCTCTTCAAGTGCTATTACCGCTACAGTATCTTATTGACAAGTGATCAGAAAGCATTTGTATGTTGTCAGCTCTGTATAGGACACATAACCAATTTTTTTACAGGGCAAAAGGGTCCTAGTTGAGAGACTCAGAGTATTTCGACACAAGCTGAGCTTAAGATTTGCTGGTTTACTATTTCCCCACAGGAAATCAGGGAGTAGAGTCACATGAGGGAACTGACTGCATTACTGAGGTTGTGGGCCTGAAAATTTTCATAACCTATTCTGTGTGTAAGATAAAGTTCACTCTTTCACTGTTTGATTTTTAGGGCTTCTGAAATCAAACAGAGTGAAATTTGGCAGAGCTCATCATGGATCTGAAGTCTATTTCTACTAAATAACTTAGTGAATCAGTGACTAACATTAGAACTAAATCAGCATGAGATTACAATGCATGCAAATTGCTGCCACTGCAATGATATGTGCGATTCAAACAGGTATGCAGAGTATTTATAGGACTGATGGAAGCATTTGTGCCATTTATTGTGTGTTTAATGATCAAGTAGAGGGCAAAAGTAGCATCGTGCTCTGTGACATGATGTGAGAGGGGCTTTGACATTTTGCTACTACAACGCACAAGTCTCAGGTTTGGAATGCTGCCCTGGCTGGAAGAATTGACATCCTCACCAGCTATAACATGGCTGATCTACACTGTCTCCTCTTCTCATTAAAGCCATATATACAGCAGACATATGCTTATACTGGCTTATTGCCCTCTCATGTAGGAAGGGGAGTGTGGAAGAGTGTTTTGAGACACACTTATGCCTGTGTGCATGCCAGCCTACACGTATAATATTCCTTGCAGAGCAAAAATTACACCCTGCATTCTTCACAAAGGTACCTATTAATGTAGAATGTCATTGAGCCATTTAACGCTATAAGGCAAGCAGAGGCTGAGAACATCACAACTGTTAAGAATACTAGGGCACCGGTGGAGAAGTGGTAGGAAAATGAGGAGAATATTTGGTTAAGGCCCGCAGCAGGCAAGTCACAGCTCCCCCACATCCCTCTGTTTGCGTTGATGGGCACCAGTTGCGCTCACAGGTCTGCACACCAAATTCCCCTCCTGGGACAGGAACGATAATTTATTTGACAGCACCGTGTGGAAGCTGTGAGGTGGTTTCACTTTCCCCTTCCACAATCAGCCTTTTCCGTTTGTATGGGAAACAAACCACTTCTGTGAAAATTCCCCAAATCTCTGGGTGAGTCAGGCTAAGCTGGAGCACATTAACATTTCTCCATCAGAGTTAACTGGAACCTAGACAGGCTAAAGGTCAAACGAAGCAAACAGTGATCTCAAACTCCCAGAACAAAAGAGAAACAAGGGGACAGGTATACTGTCTGAAATATTATCAAGTTATTTAATAAACTAACTTAAATTTTAAATTTGGCAGCTTTGCTCTGTACTGTGCAAACGTAAGAGTTTTGAAACATTACATTGGGTGAATCAGTCCCTTTTTTTATTGATGATGTTTTAAACTCTTTCCCCTTGTGAGTGAACAGGTCTGCCACAGAGGCCTTCTGTCTAAGTATCCTGAAAGATATTGCATATATCCTTCTGGTTCGCTCCTTCAAGACCTGAAGAGACTACTGTGACCACATTGTATAGTATATTACAAAGAACGCTATTAAAAATTACTGAAGTCAGGCCTGGATCAGTTGTGTCACCCACATGTGAGCTCAGGCATACTCTGAGAAGACCTTCAGTCTTGAATCAAGATGGAGGGTCTGTCCTAGAAAAGCTGTTTCAAACATAAGTTGTTCTGACCCTGTGAAATGTTTGTCTTACTTTTATTCTAAGTGTTGGTAGAGATTTTTCAGGCTGGAAGAACATTTGCACTACAAGTCTTTATTTCTCAGGTGAAACTGAGCTTTTCTAAAGTGGACATATAATTTTGTGTCCTCTCCATTGTCCCTGAGATGTGCCAGTCATACACAGTCCTGCACACTCTTTTGCTAAATTATAAGCTGACAGTATGCACAGAAACAATTGCAGCACTTAAGCTTTCTGTTGTCTGTTTAAACTTATTTTAAATGATGAATCAACCAGGATAACAATGAAGCCTGGAAACCAGTTCCTGGCTTCCAGAACTATTCTACTCAGTCCCAATTCCTGCAACTATGCATTTGCACATGTGCCTAATACACACATAAATCTATATGGTAGACATATATTTCCACATTCATTAATTTTCCTATATATATATAATATATATATAAGTCCCTACATATAGTAAACTATATTTTACATAAAAAGGACCCTTTCAGTCTGGCAGAGGAGCATCATCTCTCAGACCAAACCAGGAAACATTTCTCACTCACCTACTTTTTTTGGCCTTTCTGCAGATACCATTATAACATGCGTGTTCAGAGCTCCAGGTTCCTCCTTGTGTTCAGGTTTTGGGTTGGGTTACTGCAGAAAATATGAAGTTAAAACACAAAGTTAAAACACCTTGGCTTTTCTGAGTCTTATTCTTTTTGTTTTCCTTTCATTGTGTCATGGTCTGCTCCAGTTTTTCTGTCATCATCACCAGTGCACCAGGCAAAAGTAATGAAACAACAAAGATATTTCACAAAATGCAACAAATACCTCACCCTTTTGGATCTCTTTGGACCCCCCTTTGGACCCTACCAGTGTTGTCCTAAACTTTTGTTTTATAAGAATCAAGTCCCAAGAATCTGTTCAATTCTTAATTAATAAACTATGACTTTAGTGTCACCTATTTGGATTTGATAAATTCAAATGAACTCAGAGGTAATAAACCTGATCAAAAAAAGTATTTTACAAGAACTGAAGCAAAATGAAGCCTTTTTACAGAGGATTATTCAAGAGAAACTTATGCTGACAAAAAATTAAAGTACAATGCAAAACTGGACTTTTTGAGATACATTAAACAGCTGTAAATTTTATATATTAATCCACAGAATATTCCATAAAACAATGGTGCCCTCTTTAATGAAATTTTATTAGAGAAACAGACCTGTCAGGGGAATACATTTTTATATCCAGTTAGGTTTTGCATTTAACAGATTCCCGCTTTGTATATTTTTCTGTGGTAGCTGCTAAGTAAAATATATATACTCTTGAATGTTTGCTTACTTCTGGAATGGGAAATTTCCACACAATTTAGTGATTTAAGAACTGATTCTAATCTAATAATAATATTAAAAAAAAACTTTTGGGAATACTCAATGTCACTCAGTTTGTTGAACAACAGCCTTTGTTCATTTAGGGCATCATCTAGTTTCCAGAGTCTTTCCAGAGTTTTCTAGGGGGGCTGAGCTGCACCCTGGAGCCACCCGTGTGCCAAATTGCTGATCTGACTGGTGCTTGGGCTTCATTAGACCTTCTGAAGAATTGCTCTGGGAATTTATCACTTTTCAGTGATTACTCAGTCATTCCTTCTCACTTTCTTTAGATGAATAATAAAGGAGCCCGATAATCAAGGTAGTCAAAGTCCAGGAAGAAGCACAGGAAGGCTCAGATAAATCATCATGTCACTATTCCTTGACAAGCTACAATACATGAGGTGCTCTCACTGACTGTGAACATACTGTCAGCACATGGATAGGGCAAGGTAATGCAGCATAGCTGTCAGGGACAGAGCATTTAAAGCTGAATTATATTTACAATAGTGCACACATGGGGAATTGCAGTAGCTCCATTGGTGCCTTTTAACTTGTTGATTAGCTGTCACCATCAGGTGACAGGTCATCTCTCAGCTTCACAGTGCCCCACTAGCCACAGACACAGGTAGGTATCCCCTAGAAGATTTTAAAAAAGAAGATATTCCAAATCACAAGTCACTCACACAAATCCTATTCCTAACATCAATGATCATGAGAGAATGCAATAATCCTGAGTAGCAAGTTTGATTAGGAGTTTGCAAGCCAAAGAGCAAGCAAAAATCATTTGTTTCTTCCCAAGAGCAAACAAAGTTCATAAATTTCTTCCCAATTACAATAAATCAATACCAGCAGCTTAGATATTTTGTTTTACCAGTTATGCACAGAATAATTTAGATTGAAGGTCATCCCGTCCCATCGCCTGCCCAAAGCAGGGCTGAATCCAAAGCTAGAGCATATTGCCATAGAATCAGAGAATGGTTTGGTTTGGAAAGGATGGTGAACTACAATTCCAGGGATGGGGCATCCACAGGCAGTGCCTTTTCCAATGAAGGGTATAAATGTATCCACAGATGGAAATTTTTCATGGTGTTGGTTTCTAATCAACAATTATCATAAATTGGCTATGCTTTCTAAAACCCTACCCTGACAGATAAAATTGTTATTTTCAGCCTCTGGACTGAAACCCAGAGTTCAACCCCAAACCTGATACAGGGTTTCATTTAAAGATTTTTTTTTCTGAATGATTGAAACAATTAAAATTTTCTTCACAACTTGAATCCACAAGCAGAATTCCAATCTGGGTGTGTATTAGGCATTATTTTAATAGCAGAAAGTGCAGAAAAGGTGTAAAATCCAAGCTCCAGATCATTCTTCAGGTTAAATCAGTATTTTTTCCTTTGACCTAGTAGATCAGCAACTTTGCTACTCATCTTTGACATTTTTCACTGAATTATCTTCCTCTTCTGTACTATCCTGTTCAGCTATGAAAAAACAGAAAAGCTGTTTCCTGACAGTTTCACTTACAGTGACTCCAACCCTTTTAAAATGATAAAAAAAAGTCATTCAGAAATTGTCTGCAAATACCTCCCATAGTACCTGATTCAGAGTAAGGTAATTAGAAAGAGCGATGGCTATTTCATGAAGATCAGAAAGTGTGGATGATGCCATCCATCTTCACTTTCTAGGTTCTTGAAATACTTGTTCTGTAAGTAGCACTTTAGCTGTGTGGAGGTATAAGAAATAAAGCCAAGTACAGGTGCTGCATGTTCTCTGCATTAAAAATGCAAAATGTCACCAACTCTGTAGCTGAAAAATGTCACCTCATCTGTTCTCCTTTGAGATTGGACCCAGTTCTAGAAGTGTAATCCTTGGCAAGATGTTTGCCTTAAAGCTTAACTGAGTTGTAGTCTCTGTCTCATAAAATATTCTATAAAATCTCAATGAGATATTGTAAGGAAGCCCAAAGACACCCATTATACTTATTTCAAGGTCTTTTTACACTAGTCTAGCAGATGTAAAATATCTGTAATACAAAGGAGAACACATGTACTGGATTCTAAAGCCTTTATTTTGTAGAGGATGGCACAAAGATTCTTTGTCAGAGTGCATAAATCCCGAATAATTCAGTTCCTTTGCGCAAAACTTACTGGAGCACTCCAACTCAATGGTAGAAGTTACATTGTACCTCAAGAATTTCCTTCTGTTAAGGGATAGATCAATATTCATACTTGCAAAATCCCTTTGCCACAACAACACAGCACTTTTCCTGAGGAATATATGTACAAAGGGGAACAGAGAAAAAGAAGAAAGATATTTGTAGAAAAAATTCCCTACTCAACATTTTCTAGTCGTGCATACATTGGTTTCATTCATCTGTACCTCTGCTGAAGTTGAACCTTTCACTGAAACATCTCATTCTCTTCACCACTTTATTTACAGAGAAAGAGGAGCCTTAGACCATTTGGTCCAGTTTTGCTGAAATTTTTTCTTAAGTGATTTTTCCTTAAGAGTTTGTTTTCATTTCTTCACAGAAGACCTACAGCATGTGAGATGTTTGGTTGCCAACAGAGAACCCTGATTACCAAAGACAATGCCACTATAGAGAACAAATATACATTTGTGTGGCATTTGGCTCAGTGTCTTCAAGAAAGAAATAAGTGAGCAATTCTCCTTGGGCCTGTCAATAAAGTGGAATCCCCAAAATAAGCTCAGTAGTGAAAAAGGCCAGCACTTCTCAAGGCAGTGAATGCAGAGAACTGGTTGCAGCTTCTCTTTTTAGCCCTGTTATATGGTCAAGAGTTTAAAGTAAACACAATATCAGGAAGGGGAAGAGACAGCCTCTATTCCATGATATTCTTCACATTGAGGGTAACAATACAAAATGGACAATGAGTATTTGCGAAGTTTTGTGACTGTGCTTCATTTTCATTTCTTTCTACCTTCTTTCAGGTTTTGTAGACCTGTTACTCTGACACAAAACTTCTTTAAGGGTGAGTGGTAGGAGACCAAGTTGTACATCCAAATATATATATCTAGTGCTACTCTTGGGAGTCCAAGTATGGTGGGTTACCCCAGGCCAACGGCCAAACACCCACCCACCTACTCAGTCCCTCTCCCCCAGCAGGATGGGGAGCAAAAAGACTCACAGATCAAGATAATGACAGTTTAATAGGGAAAGCAAGAACTGTGTACTATGGCAAGGCAAAAAGAGGAATTTGTTCACTTTTTCCCATTGGCTGTCAGATGTCCAGCCATTTTAATGAAAGAAATATTACAGAGGGAAGACAAATGAAATAACCACACAATAACCATGAAAATCTGCCTTCCATTTCTTCTCCTTCCTCCAAGCTTTTATTGCTGAGCACAGTGTCATATGGTGGGATGTCTCTTTGGGCAGCTGGGGTCAGCTATCTCAGATGGGTTCCCCGAGCCTCCTCACTGGGGGCAAAGCATGAAAGGAAGACTTGCTGCTGTTCTCACTCTGTTCATGAACTGAAAAAACACTGTTGTGTTATTAGCACTGTTTCAGCTGCCGATTCAAAGCACAGCACCATACAGGTGGTTATGAAGAAAGCAAGCTACCTCCGTCCCAACCAGTCCCAAGGTACTCAGAGGAGCTTGGCATGTAAGACCTGCCAAAGCCTGCAGCGTTCTGAGGTAGCAGGTAGGATGCCCTGAAACAGCTAAGGTAAAAGTAAATAGCTATTTTAGGCATATCTATGTTATGTGTGACTTTGTCTTGCCTTTATCTCCTTCCTATTAGATTTTTTACCTCCCATGATGCCATATTGCTGCACTGCAGAAATCCCTGATTGATACCACAGTTGAGTGAAAAATCAGCTTCAGAACATAGCAGGCACTTGTTCGGAAATTGTACGTTAAGGTACGTGGATTTTTCTCTTGCTAGCCACT